GTTCTAGTCCTCTTGGTAAATATCAACTCTGTTAGGCATGACTCATTAACTTGGTTCCCTCAACAGACACCGATTACCAACTGTGTGCCAGGTCTGTACCTGGTACTTTGGACACAAAGCTGGACAAGACTCAGTCCTCGGGGCATTCTGGGTCTTCCAGGAGAGTCCGGCCTGCAGCAGAGGTGGCCAGGGTTGTGGCTGTCCAGGTCATGCTGCATCTCCAGGGTTAATGAGGGAGGCAAGATCAATTCCAGAGGCACAAGGGGAGCTCATTCTGGAAGGAAGAGTGGGATCTCACCAGCGGGAGGATGGAGAGGGACAACACAGCCACAAGCACAGAAGGGCAGGGATAGGAGGTGTGGGGGGCACAGTGCAAACAGGGCGTCATGTGGGGCAAATGTTGGGGTAATGAGGGAGGGGAGAAAGCCAACAATGGGAGAAACAATGAAAACCTGGTTTGGGCTGCACGTTCCTGTTGACTGTCTCAGCAACTAGTCACGGCTGTGCGGTCAGCAGAGCACACGGTCCTGTCCCATTTTACAGAGGGGGCCACCAAATACAGGAGGCCCAGGTTGCTGACAGCTCTGCAGCCTGCAGGCCCCTCCCTGTCCTGCTGAGCCTCACAGCCTCCCCGGAACCCTCTCCTGCAGGGAGTCTGAGCAGCCCACTCTCCTCGGCCCTGCAGGAGCTCTGAGTTCTGCAGTCCTCCCCTCTCTCTCCAGGTGACTGATCCCCTGCAGGGGCCATGCAGGCATGAGCCGAGAAGCAGTTTCCTGCCCTTCCAAGAGGCCCCTGACACCTGCCTCCTTGAGGGAGAGCTCTCAGAGCAACAGTCAGGGCTGTGTGATGAGGCACATGTTGCCTCATCACTAGGGGGCCCAGGAGCCAGCGCCCCACTGCACTGAGCCTTGGCCCCATGTAGGCTGGGCCTGGTCACCAGGCCACAGTCACCCTGGTTTGGGTGGAGGCCATGTGGAACACCCCTGAGCCTGATTGGCTGCTGTGTTCCCACCTCCCAGGTCCAACCGCACCTCCCAGCCCTGCCCTCAGTTCACCCGGTCACCTTCAGGCAGCGTGACTGCCTCTTCCTGGAAGCCTGCCCTGGCTCCCCAGCCCTCCCTCCCTGAGATGCTTGTGGCCTCACTTTCAGGCCTGTCCAGGTGGCAGTGGCTTACACTGCCTGACATTGGAGCCCAAGGTCAGCAAGCATCTTCTGTAAAGTACCAGGTGGTCCATATTTTAGGTTTTGTGGGGCATACAGTCTCTGTGCAGATACTCGGCTCTGCCTGGCAAGTGTGAAAGCAGCCGTAGATAATGTGTCAGTAAATGAGCATAGCCATGTGCCAATAAAACTTTATTTACAATAACAGTGATGGGCAGATTCAGCCCACAGGCCATCGCTTGCTACATGTATAAGTTGGATCATGTGATGCCCCTTGGTGACTCACAGCTGTCCACAGACCATCCAGACACCTCATGGAGCACCAGGCCCCTCTGTCATTCCTCAGATCTTCTGTTGTCACCAGAGTTGTTGGCAACAGTAACTTGCTGTCATGGGGCACCTACTCTGTGTTGGACCCATGTTTGACCCTGGAGACACAGTGGGTGATGGATGAGACAGCCATGGCCCCCAGAGCTCAGGTTGGCAAGGGACACAGACAACGATCAAGGGAGGACACAGCGAATGTAAAAGTGCAAGCCAGGAATGAGTCATGGATGAAGAGCAGGCTGAGCTGACAGCATGCTCGGCTGGAGGGCCAGGAGAGAATTCCGTGGGAAAGGACATCTGGGGGCTGAGGAGCTTTGATTCAAGATGAGGCCCCAGAGGGGTTAGCAGCCATGACACATGGAGTGCTGCGGCCATGTTAAGGGTTTGGATGTACGCCAGGGAGCTTTTGCTGCATAACAAAAGATCCCAAAACTTAGCAGCCTAAAACAACCACCATTTATTTCTATTTATTTAGCTCACAATTCCACAAATTGGCAATTTGGGCTAGGCTCAGCTGGAAAACCCTTCCATCCTTGGCTGGGCTTATTCATCCATCTCTCATCAGCTGCCACTTTGGCTTGGGGCTGGCTGGTCTTGGAGGGAAGGAGGAAGGAATAGAAAGACAGAGGGATGGAAAGGTAGAAAGAGGGAGGGACGGAGGGTGTATGGGTGGATAGCTGGATGGATAAATGGATGGGTGGGTGAATAAAGGGATAAATGGATGGGTGGGTGAATAGAGGGATGGTGGTTGGGTGGGTGGGTAGATCAATGAATGGGTGGGTGAATAGAGGGATAGATGGATGGATGGGTGAGTAGAGGGATGGTGGATGGAGGGGTGGGTAGATGGATAGATGGTGGGTGAATAGAGCGATAGATGGGTGGGTGAATAGAGGGATGGTGGTTGGGTGGGTGGATGGATAAATGAATGGGTGGGTGAATAGAGGGATAGATGGATGGATGGGTGAACAGAGGGATGGTAGATGGGTGGGTGGGTGGATGGATAGATGGATAGGTGTGTGAATAGAGAGATGGTGGATGGAGGGGTGGGTGGATGGATAGATGGATGGGTGGGTGAATAGAGGGATGGTGGATGGATAGATGGATGGGTGGGTGAATAGAGGGATAGATGGATGGGTGGGTGAATACAGGGATGGTGGTTTGGTGGGTGGATGGATAGGTGGATAGGTGTGTGAATAGAGAGATGGTGGATGGAGGGGTGGGTGGATGGATAGATGGATGGGTGGGTGAATAGAGGGGTGGGTGGATGGATAGATGGATGGGTGGGTGAATAGAGGGATAGATGGATGGGTGGGTGAATACAGGGATGGTGGTTTGGTGGGTGGATGGATAAATGAATGGGTGGATGAATAGAGGGATAGATGGATGGATGGGTGAACAGAGGGATGGTAGATGGGTGGGTGAGTGGATGGATAGATGGATGGGTGTGTGAATAGAGAGATGGTGGATGGATAGATGGATGGGTGGGTGAATAGAGGGATGGTGGATGGAGGGGTGAGTGTATGGATACATGGATGGGTGGGTGAATAGAGGGATAGATGGATGGGTAGGTGAATAGAGGGATGGTGGATGGCTGGGTGGGTGGAAGGATAAATGGATGGGTGGGTGAATAGAGGGATGGTGGATGGAGGGGTGGGTGAATGGATAGATGGATGGGTGGGTGAATAGAGGGATGGTGGATGGAGGGGTGAGTGGATGGATAGATGGATGGGTGGGTGAATAGAGGGATAGATGGATGGGTGGGTGAATACAGGGATGGTGGTTTGGTGGGTGGATGGATAAATGAATGGGTGGATGAAGAGAGGGATAGATGGATGGATGGGTGAACAGAGGGATGGTAGATGGGTGTGTGAATAGAGAGATGGTGGATGGATAGATGGATGGGTGGGTGAATAGAGGGATGGTGGATGGAGGGGTGGGTGGATGGATAGATGGGTGGGTGAATAGAGGGATGGTGGATGGAGGGGTGGGTGGATGGATAGATGGGTGGGTGAATAGAGGGATGGTGGATGGAGGGGTGGGTGGATGGATAGATGGGTGGGTGAATAGAGGGATGGTGGATGGAGGGGTGGGTGGATGGATAGATGGATGGGTGGGCGAATAGAGGGATAGGTGGATTGGCGGATGAGTAGAGGGATGGTGGATGGGTAGGTGGGTGGATGGATAGATGGATGGGTGAGTGAATAGAGGGATGGTGGATGGGTGCGTGAATACAGGGATGGTAGATGGGTGAGTGGGTGGATGGATAGATGGATGTGGGGCAGATAGAGGGATAGTGGATGGTTGGATGAGTGGATGGATAGATGGATGTGTGGGTGAGTGGATGGATAGATGGATGGATGGGTGAATGCAGGGATGGTGGATCAGGGGGTGCGTGGCTGGGTGGAGAGATGGATGGATGATGGTTGGAAAGAGAAAATATTGGTGACCATCTGCTGTTGGTAATTCCTTATGGAGCCAGTTTATGGAACTTGAGCGTGTTTCACTGAATCACACTGCTAGGAACTGGTCTTCTCCCTTAACCTCTTAGAGAAGCAAGACTCAGGGTTGTTTGTCACTTGGAGAGCTTTTCACAGGGTCCCTTTTTTGCTTTGGTCCCCAGAATCCCCTCCCCTAATGGTACTGGTGAGAGGCGGGCTGTGGTCCCAGCAGGGAGCTGCCCACAAGCTTGTCCTCAGGGAGCTGCCCACAAGCTTGTCCTCAGCTGTCACCTCAGAAGTTCATGCCTCTGGGTCAGAGCAGAGGTGTGGAAAAGCCACCTCTGCCAGCTCAGGGATTTTGGCACTGACGGACTCCCAGCAAGGGCTCTGCAGAGAAAGGCCATGAGACTCCTTCAATGCCTAATAAAATGCACTCATCCCGCCAAGCCTTATTTGCCATTTGAAGCTCACACCTGCGCCTGCGCAGTAAACTGCCCTGTCAGGACTGCGTTTTCCAGCAGAGAGCATGCTTGCATCTCCACACCTGCAAAGAGAAGGCAAGGGTTTGTCTTTTCTTCCCATTTGAATGTCTGACCCGTAGTTCAGCTGGACAAGGTAGACACTCAAGAAACGAGGTCCCTCCTGACCCGGGTCTGTGGGGCATCCCTCCCTTTGCAAACTCCCCGCTTGGTTTTCCAGACCGAATGCAACCCCAGCGCCCTCTGAGCTCCCCTGTTCTCCTCCCTTCTCCCCTGTTCTCCTGTTCTCCTCCCTTCTATCTTGGCACCAAACGTGATCTACCCCTATTAATGGCAGGACCACAGAGACGAAAACACAAGCAAACCTCTTCATGCCACACCTTAAGCCATGGCGAGGGGAGGAGAAACTTACTCCGACAGACAGTGTCATCCAGGAGGCTTGGAGAAGGCCCTGCGCCCAGCACATAGCCCCCGATGAAAGAGAACTGGCTCCAGGAACTCCGTTCCTGTGAACAGATTTCTTTCCATAAGTACCCTGTCAATTAAAACCCAAACTGATTCTCTGTTCTTTCTCAACTGGTGTCTCCCTTCCAGAAAGTTCAGCAGTACACAGTCATCGTTCAGGCCACAGACATGGAAGGAAATCTCAACTATGGCCTCTCAAACACAGCCACAGCCATCATCACGGTGACAGATGTGAATGACAACCCGCCAGAATTTACCGCCAGCACGGTGAGTCCCTCGAAGCCGCCCAGTGATGCATGGCCTGTGCGGGGCAGGAATGCACTGACGTGCGGCGCAGCTCCCTCTGTCTCTGCAGCTCTGTCTGATGGGTGCTTGGCAGGTAGCATGTAAGAAAGGCCCTGGGCAGTGGGGGCTGCTGTGTGGAGTGGCTCCACTCCGGGTGTGCGCAGTAGGGGAGAGGCCAGGGCTCAGCCAGGGAGGGGACCTGCGGCGGAGGTCAGTTGCCACCTGGGAGGCATCTCTGTGATGTCTGGAGGAGTTAACTGGTACTGTTTGGGCTGATGTTACTGCCACTTTGGGAGGCGTGCGTGTGGGACCTTCTTGGGGGATGCCCAGATGGAGCGTTGGCATGGCGGGTCCATCCTGTATGTGGAACTTGGCCGACCCTCTATGGCCCGCTGTTGGCAGAAAGGGGGTCGTGACTGGGCCCCATACCGGCTGCTTGGGACCTGAGTGACCACTCACTGAATGTTGTTGAAAGTCCACTGCGAGGTCCTGAGCCCCCAGTTCACAGGGGGCCAAACTCTGTCTGGTGGGAACATGGTAGAGACAGGGCTGTAAGGCATGCGGCCCCCGCTTCCTCTGGATTCCAGCAGGGCAGCTGCACCACCAGGAGGGGCCCTTCCCTTGAAATCTGCAGAGGCCACCGCGCCGACAGACATTCGATGGCCCCACTTCCCTGCTGCCCGGTGATCTGGGGAGGTCCCAGCCTCGGCTGTTGCCCTTCTCTTCAACCAGGACCCTCTGTGGTGACTACCTGGGTCCGTGGGGTGCAACACTGTGTCCCCAAGCTGTCATTTTGGGCCCCTGTAGCAGTGCTGATATCACAGGCACGTGGCCCAGCCCCGGGAACCCCTCTAGGAAGGTTTAAGGCACCAGGCTGCGACGTGCAGAGGGGAGGGTCAGCAAGGGCTCCCAGAGTGACCGTGACCCCGAGATGCCAGGATCTCAGGGTTTTCTCTGCCCCTACAACCATATCACCCGCTTCTCCCCCAGGCCTAGGCCCCCACAGAGCTGTGTGTCAATCATGATAGCAATGACATGATAGCAATGACAGCAGCAGCACCAGCTGCACCTGTGGAGCTGCCCCTTGGGCCCCAGGGTGCGGCCAGGGTGCAGAGCCAGCCTCTGATCCCAGCCAACCCCGACTAACCCAATGACAGATGAGGACTCTGGGCTGCGGAAGGCTAAGAGGGAGACGGGAAGGGATGGGGTCAGGAGGGAGACGCTCCTCCCTGTGGGTAGGCCGGCTTGCTGAGAAGGCAACTCAAGGCCAGAGCCCCTCACCACGGCACCCATCCTGCATCTGGGCCTCCTGCGTCCTGCATCCCGGGCCCCGGCGCAGCTGCACCAGGAGGGGGTGGCCGTGAGCACACAGCGCCATCTGGTGGGAAGATGGCAGATCACAGCGAAGGAAGCCAGCTCAGCACCACTGCGGCAGGGCTGGGATGCTCCAGGCGCGCCCTCAGGCTCCTGGCAGTGAGTCCCAGGCAGCAAGCAGCCAGGGCAACCAGGAGCCTGAGGAGCATTTAACAGGGCGCAGCCCCAGGATGCAACAGCTCTCATACAATTGGCCAGGAAGGCGTTCAGATGGTTTGGAAAACACCCCCTTCTCTCTTGGCTTCAGTCTCTATTTGCTCTCTTCCGGCCAATGAGCAACGGGCAGGAAAAGCTCAGGGCCAGGCTCCCGGGGAGTCTGGACATAGGGGAAGCAGCTGCTAACCCCAGGGCCCTGCAGAATAATAACGTCCAGGCCCAAGAGCGCAGCCGGGCTGCACCCACACAGCTGGCCAGGCAGCCCCAGCTGTCCTTCCTCCCTGACTCCAAGAAAGAAAAGGAAGTGATGGCAGGGAGGGAGGGGAGAAGGTGACGCACATTGTGTGGAGCAGGTGTCTCTGCCTTTCTTGGAGCCGGCATCCCTGTGAAGGAAGACGGAGAACCGCAGGAAGTCTCTGACCTGCACATGCCTCTGAAAACGGCCAGCCCAGGAGTCACACTGAGCCCCCGACGGAATTCTGCATTTGGCTCAAGGCAACTTGAAGCACATTGCAGGGGAGAATTCTTGCCTCTGTGTCCCCTTGAACAAAAGGTGGGGATGACCTGATTCTCTGAGATGTTGGGGGGCAGAAGTTAAACAAGGGGAACTGTGGTCCTAAATCCCGAAATTCAGAGAATCCCATCATTCCATTGCAAGCCCTACCCCTCGTCTCTGGTCCCCCTCCCGAGACTCTGGGAAGCCAAGGCAGAGGCCCTTCTAGACCTAGTGGACCAGCCACAAGCACTGACCAGCATGAGCACTGACCAGCACTGACCAGCCACCAGCACTGACCAGCCTCCAGCATTTACCAGCACTGACCAAAAATGACCAGCAACCAGTACTGACCAGCACTGACAAGCCACCAGCACCAACCAGCCACCCGCACTGATCAGCACTGAGCAGCCCTCGGCACTGAGCTACCCTCACGGCCACTGCTGACCGGCCACACCACCCTGGGGCTGCTCCTCCTGGGACTGGGGCAGAGGGTCCCCATGGCATTTATTAGAGAGACACATCCCTGTGCTTTTCCAATGGCTAAGCACAGGCTACTGCAGCCTCATGCACCTCCCAGAGTTGGGCCATTGTCCATTCTTGGTTCCAGAGGGCCTCAGGCAGGTCCCAGGCCCCAGATCACGGGGCAGGGAAATGGCATCTCTTGAGGAGTACGCAGATATGTCTAGGTGCTTCTCAGCCAGTGTCCACAGCACCTCCCGGTCTAATACAGGCTGGGAGAGGATCCGCAGTCTGCTGCATTGGTCAGGCCGGCGAGGTGACGTGCTAGTGAGTGGACAATGGATGAATTACCCTGGCAGGGAGGGTCCCCTCCACCCTGGGGTGGCTTTTCCAGGTGACTGGGTCACATGGTCATGGGGAAGGGGTGTCTGTAAGTACTCGGGGTTAGGACGGCCCTTGGTGTGTCCTTCTGAAGATGAGTGACAGGCAGGAGCCCCAGGACACTGTCCATGCCTCACCGTGGGATGGAGCAGGCAAAGGGGCCAGCAGGATGGCGAGGGCCAGCCACGCTGCTGCGCATGGCTCCAGGCTATTTTTACCAAGCCTAATCAAGAACAATCAGCAGAAGCTACAGAGATGCAGGGGATTTGCATGATCCAGTTCTGAGTCCTAAATGTTAATTAAAAGTTATTTTCCCTTCACTGGCTCTGAGCATGGCTGCACTGCCCACGTGAGGCTGAGCAGGGACCCTCGGCCCTCAGCACTGCCTCCAGCAGGTGAGCGTGGGGTCTGCTGTGCTAGAAGCTGGTGGCCACAGAGGACACAAGCTTCAGACCCTGCCCCAAGGCCTCCTATGCAGGACCACTGCATGGGTCCTGCAGTGAAGTTCTCAGGGACAGGTCCAGCCAGCACAGGGCGACCCTGGAGATCTGGCACCACAGGCCTTCCTCCAGCCCACCCCCCCACCCACACACATGCCCACAGGGAGGGCCCCCTGGCGTCAGGAAGCCCAGCACTAGCCCTCCTCTTGGTTCCTGCCAGCTGCATAGCCAAGGTCGGATCGCTGGACCTCTCTGAGCAGCAGGATTTCTTTTTTTGTTTTGTTTTGTTTTGTTTTTGAGACGGAGTCTCGCTCTGTCGCCCAGGCTGGAGTGCAGTGGCCGGATCTCAGCTCACTGCAAGCTCCGCCTCCCGGGTTCCCACCATTCTCCTGCCTCAGCCTCCCAAGTAGCTGGGACTACAGGCGCCGCCACCTCGCCTGACTAGTTTTTTTGTATTTTTTTAGTAGAGACGGGGTTTCACCGTGTTAGCCAGGATGGTCTCGATCTCCTGACCTCGTGATCCGCCCGTCTCGGCCTCCCAAAGTGCTGGGATTACAGGCGTGAGCCGCCACGCCCGGCCAAGCAGCAGGATTTCATCCCTGCTTTCCACCTAGAATTAATCCCATCTCAAGGTGTCATCAGGAGCACTGCTGATCTATGTGGAAGTTGAAGACTTCAGCAACATAAATCTGCTCTAAAAATGCCACGGGTGGTGCCCCAGGCCCCCATCCCAGGGGCATGGAGATGGGTGGTGAGCAGACATGGTTCCAGCTTTAACAGACCTGGCATCCTGTCCGTTTTGGCCTTTCAAAGGTGAGGGGCTTGTAGCAATGTCACCAAAACCTTCTCAGCGCAGTTTCCCCAAATGGTAAAGAGGGAGGTCCAGGTACAGTGGCTCACGCCTGTAATCCCAGCACTTTGGGAGGTCAAGGAGGTGGATCACGAGGTCAGGATTTCAAGACTAGCCTGGCCAAGATGTGAAACCCATCTCTACTAAAAATACAAAAAAAAAAAAAAAATTACCCAGGTGTGATGGCATGCACCTGTAATCCCAGCTACTCAGGAGGCTAAGGCAGAGAATTGCTTGAACATGGGAGGCAGAGGTTAGAGTGAGCCAAGATCACACCACTGCACTCCAGCCTAGGAGAGAGAGTGACTCTGTCTCAAAAAAAAAAAGAAGAGGGTGGTAGAAATTATTAAGGTATATTATTGTTGTCATTTAAAATGCATCCATGATAAGACATATTTTGTACTTTGTCATTGTGAATGATCTATTCCCCATCCCAAGGCAAGTGTGAATAAAATCAGGTTAAATATTTTTTAAATAAGAGGGAAGGGAGTCGTGCTGGTTTCCCCACAGGCTCTCCAAGGGCAGGATGAGTGGGTCCCCAGCATTTAGGACGTGCCTGGCTCAGCCAGTACCTGGTTATCACAGTTGATGTGGAAATACAGATTTTTCTCTCAAAGGGGTTAAAAATGGTTTTGCCAGAGGCGGGGGTGTCAGCTGAACTTAGGAGCCCTGGGGTCTATGGGTCTGTGGCCCTCATATTTTTGAGGTCCTTCTGGAAGTTCCCACCCCAAGCCGCCTGAGGATGCGGCCTGCGGTCCCTCCTCAGAAGTGACACTCCTGACCGGGAGGAAGGGCAGCCCCAGCTCTGCAGGATAGACAGACTACT